GACCCTTCTTCAGAATTTCTGAAGAAGGGTCTAGGCCCGAAACGTCAGCTTTCCTGCTCCTCTGATGCTGCTTGGCCTGCTGTTTTCATCCAGTTCTGCACCTTGTTATCTCAGATTCTCCAGCATCTGCAGTTCCTACTATCTCTGAAACGGGTACCTCAGTGTTGTGGAGTTGGAGGGAATCGTAGAGGCAAGGAGGGTTGAAGCTGTTGAAAAATTCAAAAACACACATTTGAGAATTTTATACTCGAGGTGTTGCTTAACAAAAAGCAGGTGGAAGTCAGTGAGCATGGAAGGCGTCGGGTAAACAGTACTAGAAATTACAAAGGAATGGATGAGCATTTCCCTAGCAGATGAACTGGGAATGGGGAAATGCTGTGCAACTGCAAATAGGCAGTCTTTCTAAAGGTATACATGTGTGATTGAAAGCTAATCTTGGAGTCAATAATGACACCATATTTGGGAAAAGTGTGGCTCAGGCAGTCACCAGGGAGAGAGAGTTTGTAGCAGGGACAGAAGACCATTGGCATCTCATTGAATCTAATCTAATTCATGAAAATGGCAAAAAGAAAATGGTACAAGGGGAAAGAAGATGACAATGAGACTTTGCATAAACAACCCTTTTAACTTGTCATCTCGCCTGACTTCCACGCTATCACAGACCTTCCCAGCTGTATTTTAGACCACCTTCTTCAGGCTCTGCACTTACATAAAATTTGTTACATCTCTGAATTTTTCAATTCTGGTAAAAGATCATCAAAGTGAAACGTTTGCTGTTTTTCTGTCCACAGATACTGCCAGGCCTGCTGAGCATTTCCAGCATTTCTTGTTTCTGTTTGAAATTTCCAGCATCTACTGAGTTTTGTTTTTCTTTCAAATGCTGGCTAAATGGTAGCTTAGAAATTCTGTATTTATGAACTGTGTTATTTCACCACGCAGACCATAGAGTTAATAGATGCATATGTAATACTGTGTGATACACAGTTTGAGTTCAGTTTTATGTCTGATGGCTTAAGTAAATTATACAAGGCAATTAGAAGTGCATATTCTCATGAAACACAAATATCTTATTGATAACAAGTTACAAATGTGAAGCCCATTCTATATTCTTTTAAGACCTCTTCTTGTTTGTGTGTAGTTGGAAAGCCTCACAAATGTAGCTATTGTGGGAGAAGCTACAAGCAACGCAGCTCACTCGAAGAACACAAAGAACGTTGCCACAATTACTTGCAAACCATGGGACTGCATAGTGGTATTTATTCAGGTAAAAACAAACTATTTCGTGATTACATAGGTTTCCATAGGCAAGCTGGCAATCCATTCTGCCACTTGTCCCCTGACTCCACATTCTGTGATGTTATTCCTTAAACTATTTATGGGGCACCTTATCAAAGGTCTTTCAGAAATCCAGGTATATTTGATGCATCACCATTGTCTACTATCTCTGCTACCGCTCCAAAAACAAGTTAAGGTTGGGAAGCAAGATTTTCCCTTTTGAAGTCCATGCTGACGGATAATTGTTATATTTCCATTTCCAGATGTTCCTCTATTCTCTTCTTTAGAAAGGATTCCAATTTTTTTCCTATCACTGATACTAAACTGACTATAATTCCCTTGATGTGTTCTCTTTCTTAAAAATAGGCACGGCATTAACTGTTCACCACTCCAATGACTACTTTTTTTTTCAACAAATCATTAAGTAAGTGTAGAAATACCTGTGATGTCTGTTCCCTAGATTCTTTTAAAATATTTTATGATTTTAAAATACATGGATGCGATTGATTCGCGCCAGAAGTTTTATCCTCTTTACCCTTCTATCCTCTCAATGTTTTTCCGTTTATTCAATATAGCCCCTTTTTTAATAGCCTACATATTTCATTAATGTTTTCATCATTCTACCTCACTGATAAAAATCAATATTTCAGCCATCTCTCAATAATGACTTTTAACTTTTTCCTGGAGGTAAATGTATGATCTAACATGGCACTAGGCATAGTGATTGTCCCTTCAAGGTGAATAACAAAACAGGATATAGAGAAGATATCAGGTCAGGCTACTTATGCTTATGGAGAATTGCTGATCTTTACTGCATTTTACCAATATTTTAGCATCATCATAAAAGTATGTAAACTGATCATAAATACAAATAGGCAGGTAGTCTCTAACTATTGGCTCTCACAGTAGCTTCAAAGGTATTTTGTGCTCAGTAAATTGAATGATAATTATGTTGTAGAGTGAAAAATTTGATTTCAGTAGATCGTACAGTGATATTAAACCTGGAGATTCTGCAAAGGGTGTGTTGAATGTATTTTTTTTTCCACTAGACCTAATAAAATGTCAGTAGGATATTTCTGTATCAAATTACTTGTCTCAATTCCAGAGAACAGGAAAAGCTGTTAAAGCTAAGAGTAATTAAGCTGTTGACTGTTATTTGTAGTTTCCCTGATAATTGCTGGATTTTGCGTGGGCATGCTACTGTTTTAAGAAATGTTGGAATCATCAAATAAGTACAGGAGCAGGGGATTCTACCCAGCATCTTTGATAGAGCTATCTAACTATCCACAAACGCACACTATCCCCATTGTCCTACAATGCATTCCTCTTCAAGAACTTCTTCAACTTTAGAGAATAGAAGAAGAAAAGAGTAAGGGGGTGAGAGTATTGGAATGTAGTAGGAAGGAGTATCATATTAGAAAAAAGTAAAAGGGATTGGGAAGATGTGGTCATGCTTGAAAGAGTGGATGTCCTGGTAGGGTAAGGGCAAAATACATTTGGTTACAATCGAGCAGCAAAATGGATGAGCAGTTACTGGGCCATTCTATAGGACTCCAAATAGTGAGAGAGAGAGATGGAGGGCACTTCTCGAGTTGTGGCAGAATTAGAAAGTAGTGAATTTGAAGGACTTTAATTACTCAAGTACTGATTGAAGTAAGGAAGGGAGGGGTTTCTGAAGTATGTTTATGAGAGCTTCCTTGGCTAGCATGTTCACAATCCACTTAGGATGGGAGTATCACTGCATCTGATACCAGGGAATGAGCTGGGCCAAGTGGACGAAATGACTTTGTGCTGACCTGGTAAGCGCAATCATCATTGTATAACATTTTGGATTAGCGCTGGAAAACAACACCAAACAATTTATAGTACAAATTCTTAATTGGAAGAGGGCTGACTTCGATGAGAAGGATTGTAACCAGGGTAAAATGGAACCAAAGACTAACAGGAAGACATGTCACAAAGTAATTGATCTTCAGGGAAGCAGTGTTTCAGGTACAAACTAAACATATTAGAAACAAGGGTGAAAGGTAAAACCGTCAAAGCCAGGGTCCTTGAATGACAAGTAAGATGGAATATATAATGAAACCAATAATGAACCCAACAATAGATTATACGAAAATCAGGCCAATTCTCAAAGCAAAATGTAGGCTAAATATGAATCAGAGATAGTAGGAACTGCAGATGCTGGAGAATCCGAGACAACAAGGTGCAGGGCTGGATGAACACAGCAGGCCAAGCAGCATCATAGGAGCAGAAAGGCTGACGTTTCGGGCCTCGACCCTTCATCACTGAGCTGGAGAGATTAAAAAAAACTGTCGTAGAGTGAATTTAAGAACAGAATGGCAGCTAACATAAAAAGGACCCCAAAAGTCTTCACCAAGTGCTCGCGGAACTCAGCGCATCTAGCAGCACCCGTAGTGAAGAAAAGAGAATTACAATTCTGAGTTCAGCGAACTATCGTGAGAACTGAAGATGGAGGGAAAGGTGGATTTTTGTGCTGATGAAGGATTGTTGGGACCTGAATGGACTACATGGAGATGGGGCCCAGAGATAGAGAGGAAAGGGAGTGGCAAACAAAGAGATTGCTGATGATAAGCTGAGAGAGAGATGAATACTAGGTAGGGTGCTAATGAGAAGCATACTTGATTGAAAATAAGTTGGTTGTGCGGGCAGCAACCCATACAAGACAGGACCTCGAGGATATGGGGGAAATGTAATGAACATAGAGGGAAGTGTTCACATTCTGTAATTGTTAAACTCAATGTTGAGTCCTGGGGTTGACAGCCCTTCAGGCCTCACCCCTTCCCACTCCTCCCAAAGCAACGATGAGGTCCCCCTGGTCCTCACTTACCACCCACCAGCCTCCACATCCAAAAGGTCATGAGCCGCAATTCCCCCCACTTCCTGCAGAATACCACCACCAGATACATACTCCCCTCCTTGTCAGCATTGTGAGAGGAAGCTAGCTTGAAATTTTGAAAAAAAATGGATAGCAAGAGCTTCTACAGATATTTGAAAAGGAAAAAAAATTGAGAGAGTGGGTATTGGTTCTCTAGAGACAGAATGGGGAGCTGATAATAGGTAATAAAGAAATGGTGAATGATATGAACAAATATTTTCCTTCTGTCTTCACTACAAAGGACACAAAAACATCCCACTGATAGCTATAAATCAGGAGTGGAAAGGAGAGAACAATTTGGGGAAATTACATTCACTAGGAAAGCAGCACGGAGCAAACTGATGGAACTACAAGCTGATGAGCCCCAGTATTCTGATGGACTTCATCCTCAAGTCTTAAAAGAGATGACTATGATGTTGCAGATACGTCAGTGTTAATTTTCAAAAATATGCCAGATTCTGCAAATGTTCCATCAAACTGGATGGTAGAAAATACAATATCTCTGTTCAAGAAGAAGGGAAGCAGAAAACAGGAAACCAAAGGCCAGTTAGTTTGGTTTCGGTCATGGGGAACATGGTAGAATCTATTTTTGAAGAAATTGTAGCTTGAGACTGGAAAATAAAAGCTCCAGGCAAGCAAACAGGAAGAACCAGCATGGTTTTGAGAAAGATAAATCATATATAACCAATTTGTTGGAATTTTTTTGAAGGAATAACATGTGTCGTAAATAAAGCAATGCCTGTAGACATACTATATTTGGATTTGGTAAGGTGCCAAATAGTTGTTATTGTACAAAGAAGGTATGAAGATTGTCTGGCTGGTAGAACCTAGAGTATGCAAAGGTATGTTTCTGATTGGTAGGATGTGATGAGTGTAATCCTACAAGGGTCGGTTCTGGGACCTAAGTGCCTTATTATTCACATCAGTGGTGTAGGTGAGGGGATTGAAGCCATAGCAGTCACATTTGCAGGTGGCACAAAGATAGGTTGGAATGAATGTTGTGAAGAGGACATAAGAGATAGATAGGTTAGGTGAATAGGCAAAAACATGGCAGATGGAGCATCATATGGGAAAAGGTGATGAGGGGTCTTTTTTTGTTTATTCATGGGATGTGGGTGTTGCTGGCTGGGCTGCTTTTATTGCCCATCCCTGGTTTCCCTTGACAAGATGGTGGTGAGCTACTTTCTTAAATCACTGCAGTTCATTTTGAAGAGGTACCCCTGCAATACTTTTAAGGAGGGAGATCTAGGTATTGCAGTGCGTAAGTACAAAAATTTACTATGAAGACGCAGCAAGAAACTAACAAGGCCATTGGGATACTGTGCTTTATTATGGGAGGAATTAAAATAAAACTTCAGTCAGAGCATTGGTGAGATCACCTCTCAAATACTGTGTGAAATTTTGGTCTCCTTATTCAATGAAAGGATGCAAATGCATCACAGGTGATGCAGAGGAGGTTTACTAGATTGATACCTAAAGGATTGAGTGGATTGTCCTACGAGGAAAGATGGACAAGCTGGCCTTATTTACAATGGTGTCGAGAAAAATGAGGGATGATCTGATTGAAGTACATAATATCCTGAAAGGTCTGGACAAGTTGGACATGGAAAGTTTGCTTCCTGTTATAGGTGAGTCCAGAACTAGGGGACACTATTTAAAAATTAAGAGTTATCCTTTTAGGTCAGAGATATGGAGATTTTGCTTTCTTTCTGAGAGTTATGTAGCTATGGAACTCTGCCCTGGAATGATACACCTCTACTCCTAATTTGTTTGTTCATGTGATATAACAGAGAAGGTAAATGGATGGTATATATTTGGATTTTAGGAATCCATTTGACAAAGAACCACATAAAAGTCTGATCAGCAAAATTGTGGTTCATGGCAGATCAATGTAGCTTGCATTAAAAAAAACACAGGTTTAAGGACAATAAGCAGCAAGTTTTTCTAAATAAATGTTTTTTTTTCAGACTGGAGAATAGGAGACGTTAACTTACTTAAAGTTTGATTGCCAAGGCTAGCATGGATATAGAATTAAATTTCAAAATTTGCTGATGAAACCAAGCTCTGAGGACTGGCAGACTGTGCGGATG